TCTACCTCGAAACATTTTTCTATAGATATTCATTGAAAACGAAAATACTACTACAATTTTTCCATTACGGTCCATTTTAGAAAAATCATGTATAAACAAAAATTATAGAGATCGATATCGCAAACAACTTTTAGTTCAACAATTTTCATAAAAATCAGAATTTTGCATATTTTGTCAAATTTCTCGAATACGGACCATTTCAGGAAATTTTGACATAAAATAAAAATTATAGATAAAATAATGTTAGAAGTAACTTTTATTTGAACAATTTTTTTCTCCAAACATAAATAACAGATATATTCCATAAAATACAAAAACGGCCTCCCATAAAGTACCCCCCAGATGTTCCGACTTTGTCCAAAATCTAATCAGCTCATTGGACGCTGGAAGAGAGCTTAAGTTTAAAATTTGGTGTTTTTCTGTGTATCGGTTCACGAGTTATGCGACACACACACACACACACACACACACACACACACACACACACACACGCACAGACACACACACACACACACAGACACACACACACACACACACACACACACACGCTCGCACGCACGCACGCACGCACGCACGCACGCACGCACGCACGCACGCACGCACGCACGCACGCACGCACGCACGCACGCACGCACGCACGCACGCACGCACGCACGCACGCACGCACCCACACACACACACACACACACACACACACACACACACACACACACACACACACACACACACACACACACACACACACACACACACACACACACACATACACACACACACACACACACACACACACACTCACACACAAAGAATAATTTAAAAGTAGAAAAACTGTTAAATGTCTTTATGAAAATGAAAAATGGTGTTATTTTAAAATTACGGTTTTTACTAAAAATCGTCAGTAAGACTACATATGTTAGACCTTTATCTTTAGTAGGAATTAAAATTAAATTTGTTGATGCCTTAGTTTCGGAAATCGGTCGATTTAACTTTTAGTCTGCAGCAGGGAGACCCCAACTGGTTTTTGGCATTAGTTTTAACACTAAACACAAAAATGTTAGCATGTCTGTAGAGGTATACAAAATACCTTTCAAATGATGTGCCACTTAATCCCCCATGCCATTAAAGATTCCCGAAGGGGTTGCCACCCCTTTTAGGGGGATGATAATAAAATCGACGTGTCTCGGTGTTTGTCATAAAAACCTCCCCCGCCAATAATATTTCAGTTGGACTGTTTCTAATGCGCCACCCTGTATACCAGATCTTTTACATAGTATGGCATAAAGCTGTACAATAATTTAAACAATAACATTAAATGTATTAAATCCGTAAGAGTCTTTAAGAAAAAACTAAAACAATTATCACAATTATTTTAAACATTAAGATGTTTTTCGTGTAATCGCACGCGAAGTCAGTATTTCGCGTTCTCAGCACAGTCCGCGAAATTTAATTTCGCGGCCGTTACCCATAGCAACGGCTGCGAAACCAAACGTCACTTCCAAATTTGAATATCACTTCCAAATTTGACATTTCTAAAATATTACAAAGACAAGGATTATTTTTTATTGAATACCAACAAATACATAAGTACTTATATTATTTAGGATATTAACATTAATTGTACAGTTTGTATTATTACTTATATTTACTCCAGAAGTTGAAGCAACTACATCTAGTGTTTCTGAATAATGCTTATTGCCTACATTCAAACCAGATACTATATCGCCAGAAATTAAGTTGTAAATTTGCTTCTTATTTTCGGGTAATAAAACGGAAATCGCCGAATTTACAACTCTCTTGAGTTTAGGAGGAGTGGAAGGTACTGAAATATTGCTATCAGTATCAATCATTTTGCGTTTTGTCAAGAACTGTTAAAATATTTTGTATGTATTGAACATTTCCATAGCACACGGTGACATTGTTAAATAAATTGAACTGCTGTTGATTTTAGAGCAATAATATATTTATTTACAATTATCTAGTTTAATAATTTTAACGATTGCACGAAATATAGTGTGTATGCCATGGCCGCGAAACTTTTTAACGACCTCAAATGCCTCGGCCGCAAGCGGCCTCGGCGATAACTATTCTTTCGGTACGTTAAAAAGGTATTTCGCGGCCTAAGCATACAAATAACTATTTTTTAATATAAAAATATTTGTATTTTGTATTAAATTCTTTAAATTGTAATTTATATTCAACATGATTTCGACCTTTGTATTTTATATTTATCCATATTTTATATATTTTTTTTAATATATTTTATTACTGAGGCCCTTCCTATGGGGCCTCAGTATTGCATTCGTGCAGACGAAAAAATTTTCTTACCCCCATTTTTTAAAACTTTTTTCATATTTCCGATCATTCTGAGTCCAAAAATGCAAAAAAAAATGTTTCGTCTGGTTGTCTGTGTGTATGTATGACGGCACGATAACTTTAGAATGAAAGTTCTCATTTACTTGCGGTTTTGATTTTCTTGAATAATTACTTCTAACTTAGAATCCTATTGATTTTCAGAATTTTCGGTTCATCCTAACTACTTTAATATCAATTTTCTTAAAATCCGCCTATGCATTTCTTATGTGACAATTTTAGAAATTCCAATCATTTCTAACGAACTAAAATTCCTAACATTCTTAACATTCCATAAATTGCAAACATTCTCTAACGACCTGTCAAACAACAGCTGTTGATAGTAAAAGTGAGATTTCTAAGGCTGGTTGCGACCTTCATATTTGCAACCATAGCCATTTTGGAGGCGATTTTTCTTCGAAATTAGTCGTCAAGCCTGCCAATTTATGAAAAATATATAAGCAGTTTCTGAACAATCACTTTTTTATGGTGGTGCTAATTTAAGCGTACTACTATTTCGCCTCTAGCCACAAAAACACCTTCATCAAATTAACTGGCTCTCTGTCGCAACGACATAGAATAATTAACCGGTCATTTTATTTGGGAAAAATCAGAATATTGCTTGGCTGTGCCTGTCAAATATCAAGATGTCAACCGTGATGTGTGAATGGCTCTTAAATGTCAAATTATTGTAATGTGAGCCATATCATTATTCAGTCATGCTCTAATACTCCAAGTCCCTCTCTGTATTATTTGGCCTTTGAGGCTCAACTTACCCGATTATTATACATAATTAAACCCCTTAAGACCAAACCTATGGGACGACTATGGCGGAGGTGATTTCGATGATGTTCGAGAAAGAACGAGATAATGTGAACTTACTAGAACGTTCGCCATTTTTTTAAGTTTGTATATAAATATTGGTGGATGAGCCATCATCATCAGTTGATATATGGACAGTGAATATAAATAGTAATTAGTAGATAGACAGTGGTGAATATAAATAGTGAACGATTTAAAGACATTCGAAGTTTATATAAATTAGAATAGTTGTGTTATAAAATAAGTGTCTAAATAAATTAATAATTAATAAACTGTTGTTTGAAAATAAACAAACATCACATTATATAAAAATGTATGCTTCTTTTGATATTGCAAATAATTTGTAGTATATTTCAATTCAGGCTTTCCATAAATAAAGGTACAGCAAGACAGATAATAATGTTGTTAAACAAAGCACTTTTTTTAATATATAAAAGAGAGATAGGATATAATGCTGTTTTTTTGTAGATAATTTTAATTATACGATTTTGGATAACATTAAGCGGGTGCAATATCATATAGTTTACATTATACCATATCGCAAAATAGATTCAACCAGCGAATTGTAAATAATAATTAGTAAATTTCCTTAATTCATAAAATTTAAAAGTTCTTACGTTGGGATTTTATTGACGTAATGCGATCAACCCATTTCAAATTTTGATCAATTATTATAACCGAGGTAATTTGTTGTGTTTTTCATTTTAATTATAAAGTTGTCATTTATTTGTATGTTGAAAGAAGGCCTTTGTAAATTACATTGCTCTCTATGGATCTACTTTAACACAAAAATAGTTTTGTGGCTATAAGTTGCTATAACCTATCGTCGCCAAACTATTAATAATTTAAACATAGTAAGTAGTATTAATCAAAGATCAAGTAATTTTTTAAAATAAAGTACATGATCTCAAAACAGAAATAATTTATAATAAATGCGGGTTAAACGAGGGGTAAAATAACAAATTAAGGGAAATACTTTAAAAGGGCAGGTTTAAAGAGTATTATCACAAGAAAGTATATTCGGTTCGTTTATTTATCACGTATTGTTTGAGGTTACTTTTGAATACATTTATTGTTGTTTTTTTTTTTAATTCTGTAGGCAGTCTCATAAATTTTTAAACCTTTAATAAAAATTGTATTTTTGGAACTTTTAGTGATGGCTTGCCGTACATGAAAGTCAGATTGGCTTCTTGTATTATAGTTGTAATATTGCGAATTATATTGAATATTTTTTCTAATAGCTCTGATGCGATGGTACTATGTCATTTTTATTTTATAAATAAATATCAGTCATGTACTGAACATAAATTTGAACTGAAAGCCAATTTTTTTTTAACATAGTTGCAATACTCATCCTTCTGTCCTTTATTAATAGAATATAAAAAGGCGAAGTAAGGAGCTCAAATATTTTCCATGAGCAGTATTAAGAGGTAAAGAGGCCAATTATTAGTGGATAAATTGCTCGAACAAGTTTTTAAACCCTAATCAAAAGGCGATAGAGAATGGTTTTAAAAATCAAGGCTTGTGAAAATCATCACATGGTTTAACCTAAGTAATGCCAGTGCTTCACAAACTAAAAAATTCAACGCCTTAATACTACTATCGGCTTTCGGTCTTTCGTTCCAAGTTAAATCATTTCTCGTTTTTGTTACGCTACGAGTTTACGCTTGTTGGCCTAAGTCTCGATAAGGTAGGAACCATCATTTAAGCGTTTCTAAAATTTTAATTAAAAAAGTGCGAAGCTTTTTCTACGCCACTGTCTCATTATAATATTTAAAATACTTTGTGAATATAAATTAATTTTTTCTATTTTCTGGCCAATTATCATTATGTATTTAGTACGAAAACTAATTATATTTTGTTATTTAATAAATTCCTTTGGAGCAAACAATGTCCAAGAATTTGTCAAATATGTAACAAACGAGTTTAAACAAATAAAAATATATCAAGTTTCTAAGAATAATGAACAATTATTTTCTACGTGTGATGCTCAATTTCGATGTAAGTCTTTATTTATCGTATTATTTTCTTTTAAAAACACAAAATAAATTTTTATATATAGGATGTCCCATAAATGCGTAATTGCTCGATATTTCAATTTGTGTTATAGACATGTAGTGATTTCTTAGTGATTTCAATATTTCTTATTTTTAATTTTACCCGGTATAATATAGTGAAACTTTATTTATTTTAGTTATTTTAGTACAGTCAGCGTCTTATCTACAATAAAAGGTGCTATAGAAAATTAAAAGAACATAAAATTATTGTAATGGAAAATCAAAGGCTATAGCAAAATTAAATTAAATTACTATGTTAGCACATTAATAAATATATTTTAATAAGGATAATTTCCTGACCGTAGCAGAATTTTATACAAATAAAAATTTCTTTGGTTTATTTGGTCATATTTTTATTTTCTATCGTTTAGCACAGCACTACATATGTTTCGGAAAAATTTCCAGCTTCGGGGGCAGTCAAAATTTAATAAAACATGGGGACGATTACAGTTTAATATTTTTTTTCAAAATAACAGTAACCCCATCACAAAGCACATAGAGGTTCCACGTAAATGACCAAGATCAAAACCGACAAATGACATTTCTTATGCTTTTGACTCCAAACTCTAGATGGGGATACTGGTGAAATTATGATTTCTTCCTCCATTTTTATTTTTTATGAATGAAAAAGTTAACCAAAGAATCCAAACTGTCCAAAGATATGACGTGTATTTATGTTTTTGGTTGTTCTCAGTTTTCTGTTTGATTTTAGTGATTTTTTGTTGGCTTTGGCTTTTGGTTTCTGTTTATAGTTTCTTCTTAATTATTTGAAAAATTGTGATGTTTTGTTTTTCTATTTCCTACTGTGTTTTGCAATAATTTTGGTGCTACGTTGAAAACTTCGAGAAAAATTTCATTGATTTTCCATGCAACTAATAATTGATAATCAATTTATCACTGGACTAGATTCCGAAATCATTTTACACCTAAGAGAGTATACCACTATCGGTATTTGGAAGGAAAATATTTATCATTGAATGAATAGTTAAAAAAGATTCACGTTTTAATCCAATACCTATATTACATTTGTCCTCGGTTAAAAAGATATTTATAAAATATATTACTTTAGTGCTAATAAAATGTAATATCCTAGTCTCTACCTCACATTTAAATATTTTTATATTTTAAAGATTTTTGATTGTATATTTATTTGCTCCAAGTAAGTATTCGTTAAATATGTATTAATATTTGTATTTATTTTTATCTACGAGAACTGCAGAGACACAGATAGGGCATTTGCACAACCAGAGGATGTCCATAAGGATGAGTTCTGTCCCCACTAATGTGGAGCCTAACCGTAGACGAACTTCTATGCAGATTGACTGACCTCGGCATACCCTGTCAAAGTTATGCATAGTCATATTTGCTACTAGCAAGTTTAGTAATATCCTGCGTGTATAGTCCAACGAGGACTAGAACATACCAAAAGATGGTGCCGTGAAGTGGGACTTAATTTAAACCCTACAAAAACAACACTAGTAGCCTTTTCAAGGAAAAGAAAACTTAATCTCAAAACCGTTAAATTAGACGGGATAGATATAGAATGGAAAAATGAAGTCACAATATCTAGGCCTAACCCTGGGCAACAAACTTCTCTGGAACACACATGAGAAGAAAATAGTAACTAAGGCCACAGAAGCCCTAATGGTATGCAGAAACATTGCAGGTAAACGATGGAGATGTAACCCAAACATACTGCGATGGATGTATACTGCAATAGTGAGACCAATCATCACTTACGGGGCTATAGCCTGGGGTAACAAAACTAGTTTAGCTGCTACGAGAGCTAATATCTCAAAAGTACAAAGACCAGCCTGTGTTTGCATTACTGGTGCAATGAGAATCTGTCCTACGACCACAATGGAAGTGATCTTAAACCTCACCCCTCTACATTTGATGATGCGGCAAAAGGGACACAATATAGAACGATCAGGAACGGAGTAATCAGACGAAAGTCTATTTGCTTCAAGACTAAAGATACCTAGGACATGCCCCAGGATGAAATGCTAAAGAAGTACCGTTTTGTGAAAAACTTCAAAACCACAGAGCTGGGCTGCAAGAAAGAATGGAGCCAAGAATCCATCGCGCTTGCAACCGAAAGACGTGCTATTCAGTGGTATATAGACGTTTCCAAAACCATAGAAGGAACTGCAATAGGAGTATATGGGCCAAAAACCAAGCACTCCGAAAGTTTGGGAAAATACCCAAGCATCTTCCAGGCGGAAATTCATGCCATCGAGAAGTGTATCCAGTTTAACACCAAGAGAAACTATCATAAACAAGAGATTATCATCATGTTCGATAGTCAAGCAGCCATCAAAGCGCTGAGCTCTTACGTAATCAGCTCAAAAATGGTCTGGAGATGGAGAAAAATCGAATGGGCTGGGCGAGAAAAATAGAGTTACTCTCACTTGGGTCCTGTGACATAATGGGGTACAGGGTAACGAGATTGCAGATAGTCTTGCAAGGAAAGGGGCTAAAACACCCTTTGTAGGACCTGAGCCGTTCTGCGGTATCAGCAGTAACATAATATAAGGAGAAATTAAAAAAGAATTGGGCAGTAGAAGAACCGATAATTGGAACAATCTCTTTGGGCTGAGACAGGCCAAGATACTTCTGGGTGAATATAACTAGAAAAGATCGGAAGAGTGCATCTGCCTGAGCAAGAACAGGCTAGGTATTGTAACAGGGATCATAATCGGGCATTGCCGACTAAAAGGACACCTAAGTAAACTGAGAGTAGAAGAGGATAGTGAGTGCAAATTATGTGAGGAGCAGGACGAAACCTCTATTCACATCCTAACTGAATGTGTAGCACTCCAAAATCCAAGGGCACTATATCTAGGAAGATATCAAATAGAAGAGGGAGATTTACCTAACTTGAAGCCACTTCAAATCCTACACTTCCTTGAGAAAATAGGATTGGAAGGATCATTATAGGCATTAAGACATTTCCTTAGTACATTGGCGATAGAAGGGGGTACAGTAGATCTTTAAGGTCGCAGTGTATTAACACCCCATTCCCAACATAACACAACATATCTAATAATATTTATTTAATTTATTAATAAACATATTTTAAGAATGTTCTATTTTATTATTTATTGATATATCTCTTATATTTATTTAATAATAATATGCAGAACCAACTCTATACATCAGACCCCTTATAACAAATTAATTTCTCAAATTTGGCATAATTGACCTAAATTAGTTTGTTAAATAAAAGTTTCAAACTTACTAGTGTAGTGCTTTGCTAAACGATAGAAAATAAAAACATGACCGAATAAACCAAGGAAATTTTTATTTATATAAAATTAATAAATATAGTAACTATATTTACTCTTGTAAAGCTTTAAATAGAGTGGTGCCCAACTTCTTTTTCAAAGTTATTCGAGTTATTTAAAAACCTAACCCACGCTCTACAAATTGAGCTCAAACACATATAACAAGTAGATAGAATAACTAGATATAAGGTTACAAGAGTCACTAAGAGAAAGGACGATATGGATTTTTTTTAAATCTGTTTAATATTTCGCTTTTTAAAAAGGTTCCGTCACCAAAAAATTTTGAGAACCACTGTTCTAGAGAAATAGTCAATATTTGGTATAGTGAAATAGTCTTCCTTGATTAATATCCTGATATTTTTGATGCTAAATTTCTCGATTCTACATAATTTTGGCATTAATAATCTATTGATTGAAGCTCTCGGGCTCTAATCAGATTATTAATGCCAAAAATGATGTCATATCAAATTGATATTAAATATTCTCGAGATTTAGATTCAACAAAAATAACTGACTATTATCAAAGTATTGGTATATTACCCTTGATTATTTTTTAATAAATAATTAAAATGAAATGTTTAAAAAATATGACTACTAATCTCATTTTTTTTTTCAATACCTATTATAATCCTTATATTTACAATTATTAACCTAGCAAATGGCAATTTTATTGCAGATTATGGGCATTTTGATTTTGTTATCGTTGGAGCAGGTTCTGCAGGAGCAGTATTATCAAATAGATTATCCGAAATAAAAGAATGGAAAATTTTGTTGCTTGAAGCTGGCGGAGACTTAACCAAATTCAGCGACGTGCCTGCATTCAGCGATTACTTACAACAAACAGACATGAACTGGGGTTATTTGACATCGTCGCAGAAAACATGTTGCCAAGGTTGGTTTTCTGTTTCTACAGTTTCGGATTTTTAAACACGGAAAGTAGACCTTACAATAAGTTGAAAAACACTTAGTAGGAACATGCACAGCAAAGAGAGTAGAGTAGAGTTTCCAGGTTAAAAATTTCGTACTTGTATATGCACCTGTTACTGTAACTATAAGATCAGAACATATATCTAACACAAATTTTTGTGGACTTTATCACTATTTATGTAAAAGACCAACTCCTGATTGACTCTTTGTATGATTGATTGTATTAGTATGGCTAGAAAAATAAATAACATATATACTTACAAAGCATGTTTTTACTTTTTAGGAATGGAAAACAATCAATGTGTATATCCGCAAGGAAAGGTTATAGGAGGATCAAGTACCTTAAATTCAGCAATTTACTCTAGGGGCTCCCCTGACGATTATGCTGAATGGGTAAACCAAGGTAACCCAGGATGGTCATTTGAGGAAGTTTTACCATATTTTAAAAAATCTGAGTTTGTAGCTTTAAAAAATTATGATAGGCCTTATCATGGAACATCTGGTGTATTGTACGTTAACCAAACATCCCCACCATCTGTAATAGCTGAAGCATTTTTAAACGCTAACTTAGAAAAAGGTCTAAGCGAAGTCGATTACAATGGAAAAAAACAGTTAGGTGTATCGAGAATACAATTTAACATCAAAAATAATTTGCACCAAAACAGTGCGCATGCTTTCCTAAATCCTATAAGAAGTACAAGGAAAAATTTTAAGCTAATACTTAATGCAGCTGTTAATCAACTATTAATTAATAAAAACAAAGTTAAAGGTGTAACATTCGTTAAAGATGGAGTTTTATATAAAGCTACAGCTAGCAAGGAAGTGATATTATCTGCCGGTTCAATTAATACTCCACAGCTTCTCTTGCTTTCGGGAATAGGTCCTGCTAATGAATTGAAAAAATTAAGAATCCCGGTTTTGAATAATTTGCCAGCTGTTGGAAAACATTTACAAGACCACCCAATTTTCGTCAATATGTATTTTCGAACCAACGTTACAGCTCCTAATCACACCCTCCAGGATAACTTAGAAAGATACAGCCAAGGAATGACGCCTTTAACAAACGGTGCCGGATTGGAACATCTTGCTTTTCTTAATTTCAAAAATGAGACAAATCACAAAGCTGAAATAGAACTGATCACTTTTGCCCCACCGTTTAGTGTACCTGAAGATTTAAAAGCAGCTCAAAATTTTAAAAAACGTTTTAGGAAAATATATGAAAAGTACAACACGATGACAGATATCAGCATAATTATATCTTTAATGAAACCGAAATCAGAAGGAGCAGTCACGTTAAGGACGAATAGCATTTTAGATTTTCCTTCTATCAACATCAATTATTTCTCAGATCTCAATAATGAAGATATAGAAACGATGTATCAAGGAATAAAGTACGCTTTAAGTTTGGAGCAAACTGCTGCTTTTAAAAAGATCGGTGCGCATTACATTGGAGAGCAACCAGGATGTGAAAATCTGAAATCCAATGACAGAGAATATTGGTACTGCGCTCTAAGACATATGACTTCAACAGAGTACCACCCATCCAGTACAACAAAGATGGGTCCAACACCAACTGATTCTGTGGTAGATAGAAACGGTTTGGTGTATAATATGAGAAATTTGAGAGTTGTTGGTGCTAGTATTGTTCCTACGATTACCAGAGGGCATCTTTTTGCCACTGTATGCATGATAGCTGAAAAAATATCAGATGTGATCAAAAAAACTCATCATAAGATGTAGTTAAATTAAATATATCTTAATTTTAATATTTGTGGCTTTAATTTACCTATACCCTAATTTTAGAGATGTATCCGTTATTTTATTGGTATCTACTGATGTTGTTCTAAATACGCATATTGTCCCTTATTTTGATTTTTTTGCATTGGTTTTAAATACAGGGTGAGGCACCGAAAACGAAACAGATCGCATATCTTGAAGACACATTTTTTTTGGAGAAAATGCAAAAAGAGGTCGATTTTTATTTCAAAGGGGACATCTTTCGATTATATCCTTAACTATCCTACATCCTTCCCCACCCCTCTGTCACTATTACCAATGAAATTGAAATAGGGAAAGTACTAAGTGTGACACATCATTGAAAAGGTAATTTTATGAGGAATTTGACTGTGTGACAGTTTATTACGTTATTTTTGATTTTCGCGCCATCTTGCGGGAAAAGTTTCCGTATTTTAAATAATGATACTTCAAAGTAAAACTCATTTAATAGACAATTCATACATAATACAAATAAAAAAATAATAGAAAAGTGAACATAAAAATTAAATTGAAAAATTTAGGACAACTCCCATAATTAAAAACTAAATTACTTTAAAGTAAATGCTCAAAGTGTTGTCCATTAACTTCCATACACGAATATAAATTATTCTCAAATTTTTGTCTGACGTTTTGGAGCATTTCTGGAGTTATTTGACGACATTCGGTAATAATACGTTCACGTAACTCTTCTAAGGAACCTGGCTGAGTGGCGTATATTTTACTTTTCAGATATCCCCATAAAAAGTCTAAGGGGGACAGATCAGGAGATCGTGGGGGCCATTCAAGAAATCCCCTTCGTTCAATCCAATGTCTAGGAAAATTTTCATTTAAATACTGAAGAACCGCTGCAGCAAAATGTGGAGGAGCCCCGTCCTGTTGAAATATTAGGTGATCTTCAAGGTATCGGTTATCGTTTTCTATTATGTCTATTAACAGTGGATCAACGGTGTTTTCGAGTAATTCCAAATACATATTCCCAGTTAAAGTACCTGGTAAAATAATGGACCAACAATACGATCGCCAAATATTCCAGCCCAAACGTTTAACTTTTCTGGGTGTTGAGTATGCGTTTCATGAAATACTCTTGGATTGGAATCTGACCAGTATCGACAATTATGTCGATTGACAGTCCTGTTAGCATAAAAACTGCATTAATCTGAAAAACAAATGTCATAAAGAAAATGTGGATCTTGTATAGCATGCTCGCTCATGATTTCACAAAATTGCAAGCGAAGTTCCTGAACTAAATGAATTTTATAGGGATGGAACTTGTTGCTCTCAAAATTCTCCTGACGGTACGGTCACTTACTCCAGATAATTCTGCAAGCTTTCTTGTACTAAGAGTTGGATCTGCAACAACTTGTTCTAAAACGGCTACCTCTAGGGCTTCGTTTCTCACTGGATTTTGAGTCTGCCATTTTTTATTTTGAACAGATCCTGTTTGTCGAAATTTTAAAATAAGTTCCAAAACGTAATTACGTTTAACCTGTTTGTTTGGGTGTCGCTCATTGAAAATTGTACAGGCAGTGTTAGCACATTCGTTATTTTTTAAATAACATTCAACAATTTCTACTCTCTCCTGAATATAATAAACCATTTTTATGTTTTACTCGCTAATAGACTTGAAGTAGGCGTAGTAAGTTCAATTTTATTCCAAAGGTAATTATGCATTAAATTTTTAAATTTGGCTTTCACATGACAATACGCTTATTTGAACTGTCACATGTCACACAGTCAAATTCCTTATAAAATTACCTTTTCAATGATGTGTCACACTTAGTACTTTCCCTATTTCAATTTCATTGGTAGTAGTGACAGAGGGGTTGGGAGGGATGTAGGATAATTGAGGATATGATCGAAAGATGTCCCCTTTGAAGTAAAAATCGACCTCTTTTTGCATTTTCTCCAAAAAAAAATGTGTCTTCAAGATATGCGATCTGTTTCGTTTTCGGTGCCTCACCCTGTATAAATTATGATGTATTTATTAGGCAAACTGGTACTTTTTGAGGTAAGATGTATATTATCCTTAGAAATGATTCATCTTCTCTCCAAAACAAGTTTAAATGAATGAATGTTTTTTTACAGTTTCTTTATTGATCTTTTATGTTTACAAATTACCAGGACAACCATGTTTCCAGTTATTTATTCGATAAATTTGATGTATCAAAAGCTATCCCAACACTAAAATAAAATAATTTTAGTAAATAAAATTGGTAAATTTGTGATCAACAAACAATGCAACACATGGAAGAAGAAGCCAAAAATGTGATTAAATCACTGAAACCCATAGAAAGATTATTTCCAAAAAAACCACCTTATCTATTTTGTGGAGAATATTTAGCATCAAAACAATTTACCAGAGAATTACCAAAAAAATTGCCAAGGTAATTTTTGTAAACTATGAAATTTGTTTTGTATCGTTTTTGTTAAAACGTTTAGATTATTTACCAACACTATTTGTAATATTGGATATATTAAGCTGAATGTTTTTAGAATATTTATAATAGTGAAAATGTTGAATAAACTGAAGGTTTATATGAAAATTTTTGTCGGTTTAAATTGTCGAAACAAATGCTAGAAAAATTGGGGTGCGATAACACTACAAAATGTTTTTTTTCAATTTTTCAATTTTTCTTTGGTTTTTTATCGCACCTCGATTTCTCTACCATTATATTAGTGTTTATATTTTTAGAAAAAACTTTAATTTTGACAATCTTGCTGAGAGAAGCGTTGCAACAAATTACCATTTTGTTCTGAAGGAATACTTCAAAATTGAAGATGAACTACAAAAAACTAGGGCCGAAGCCGCAGACAAGCGCCAATCTATGGACCAACAGTGGAAAGAACTAGAAGAAAAAGAATTAGAATTAAGAAATACATTCATAGAATTCGATGAGGTAATTTAAATTCTAAGGTTCAGTTTTTTATTTAGAATATAATAATAAAGAATGATCCACGAAAAATGTTTCTAAGTAGGCCATGACCGACAACAGAGATACGAGTAACTTCAAAAGCAGAAGAACTAAACGATACGACATGGTTGAATTTTTCCAAGGCCTGCTTTAGAAAAAATTTTTGTAATCTATACATCGACCTGAATACATAATATAACAGATATAAAACCTTTACATGCGCGAGTACGATTTTCCAGGATCATGTACGGCCGAAGGTAAAATGTGGGCCTGCGCATTTGACTGAAAACTTGATATATTACGTGACGCTTACGACGGTCATTTGTCACTTTTTGTATTAGGCACAAGGATACTTTATTCTCGACAGGATTGTTCAATGCATGGTATATCATCGGAAGTATTCGGGAAAATTACGTAGTTGCCGGACCACCGAATGCGTAAATTCAAAAATTAACACGATTATAAACTGATCCGGCTTATTTTTCGTGTAAAATAAGAATAGTTATAGTGAATGTCATCTAATAAACCTTTTTTTTAATATAAACCGTTTGAGGTACCTATTTAGAAATAAATGGGACACGATAGGAAAAATCTTTATTATTGGAATTCACATAACAACAATACATAGGTATATTTGCTTTTAACGACCACGTTACAATACAAGCAATTATGTGCGGTGATGGCACAACATTTTTCAGAACAATTCTAATAGCACATATTAAAAAACGAATCAATCATATCTTTATTAAATTCCCTATAAAATACCTACATATATACGAAAAATGCAAATTGAAAATTTTTTATTGATCCTTTATGTACAGGACAAGTCAAAATATTTAAATACAAAAATAAATATACAAACAAAACTTAAACATAATTGACAATTTTATGTACTATCTTCATAATATCATCAGAGTATTAATTATTTCATTTTTACTGCACCGATTATTGAAACATTACTATTTTAGTGTAGTGCCCGGTCCTAACTTACTGCGTTATTCGCAAACTCGCTACTAGCCCTCCTAAAGATCAAATTCGCATAGATGCGCAAAGGCATCATTCCGGAATTTGTCTTATTAAGGTCGATTGGTCTATATAGCTAGATTTATTACTTATAAATAATTGAATTTAAATATTATTTTCTTTTATTTTTAGTTTGTGGAACAGAATAAACTGAAACGTGAAAGGGGTGCAAAAAAGATAGAAGAGCTGCTTATTCGTACGGCTAAAAAATCTGAAGAATTAGAAAAACTTCAAAAGGAATACGACCAAATAGTTGCACTTCGGAGTGCATTAGACATTGCCAACAAAAACGTCTGTATTTTTGAGGTAAATATACTTATGTTATCATTCTTTGGTTTTGTATACCTAATATACACGTCAAAACAAAGATACTTAGATTAAATTTCGTTAGGACCGCACGCCATTTAGCCTGCCCCACCTCGACCTTTTCAGATCTATTGTTAATCTGCAGTTTCCTCCTTTTTTTGACAGAATCGGCAAAAGGTCTCTTCTGCCACGTTGCCATGTTCACAATGTCCTCTTAATAGGCCTACTAGTACTCTAGTATTTTTCCTATACTGGCTTAGTAGATGCTCGGTAAGTTATCGGTTATCATAGGGTGACTCTGGTATACAGCCATAGGGACATTTTTCGTTGTAGTCCCCAATTTTTTCTGCACAACCTTCGACATAAGTTAAAGGGTGTGCTTTTTGAATGACTTTTTGCATGTGTTGATTCCATGTTTACCTGTGGTTAAATTATTTGGCCTCTTTAGCAAAAGGAATCTCCTCTCCCTTAAGTACTGGTGGCTTTAGTTCTGACAATATTTGTCGGTTTGTGAAGCTGAGATTTATGATTTTATGAGGGTTTGCTGTTATAGTTTCTCCTCCCTGCACCACTCGCCAGCGATGTTCAGAGCGGTTTGTGTGCACTTCCAAGACACATAGAGTAGAAGCTGATGATGTGGTGCTTGTGGAAAATATTTTTTTATAAGTCTTTATTAAATAACCTACAATTTTAAACTAAAAACTTTTAGAACTATTTATTGATCTAAGGAGTCTTCATTGGGAGTGGGTCAAGTTATTAAATAACTCGTATTACCTTGAAAAAGAAGTTGGGCACCACTATATTTAAAACTTATTATACTTGATTATAGATTAGTGATAAAAATATAGAAAATCACTAACCATTAAGATATTATATTTAAACCAAGTTTTAGATAAGGCAGTAACAAATTCTAATTCACAGAGATTTATTCAAATTTAGAAGATTTATTTAAAAAATAGACTTATCTGTTATAACAGGAGGTAGTATATGAGGAGAGATTTGCATAGGCCTTCTTCAAAGGGACTCGAACGATACTCTTCGGATAGCACCAAACTCTTAGGTATAAATCTTCATAAACTTAAATCTCCAGAAACTTCTTAAGATGTAACTCGAACTAAACCTCTTAATATAACTTGAAATAAACTTCTTGATAGAAATCCCCATAATCAGTTTTAGATATATCTTGAATTTAACCGTCTAGATATAGCCAGGCTACAAGAAAAAGGTAAAAATATTAAGAAAGGAAATAGGAAATTTGCACAGCAACCAGATAAAATGCCTTTTATTATTAAATAAACGATTATTTAACATATTTAAATATAGTAAAGCATAATATCTCTTCCAAACAAAATAATATATAAAATTATATAAAACGTGTTATCATGTGTTACTCATGTATTGAGGTTTTGTTTAAAATTTTAAATTTCATTTAAGAAATTCTTGTACAAAATATATATTTTCAACAAAATATCGGTATTAAAGCTTACCTTATAAAATCAAACGGCCAATAAGAATATTAAAAGACAATTAGTACATCAAATGTCCAAGATAATTAAAAATTTAAATCAACTTATTCGTTGACAGATACAAATCGAAATGAATTCGAATTTGACGCAAGGCATAAACGACAAATGACATTAGAGTAGAGATGTTTGCGTCAAAATAACGAAAACGGTTCCAACCGTTACAGTTGACGTGACTTTTTTATTACAATCTTGCACTAGCACTAACATTAACGTTCACTGCACGAGTTCAAATTAGTTTTTCTCTTTGACACTTCTGTTGGAGGTAGTTTTGTCCAGTAATTGCAGCGCTTCTTCATTGACGTGGGAGTGGAGTCGACACTCACAGTTCACAGCAAACCTCTTTATTTCTTCTTCGAGTCAGGTAGGGATGCAGATAATCGTTTCGATTGAATCAAGGTGCATTAACGATGCAACTTAGGACTTTATTTTGGAAGAGGCACACCCCATACCTATATGCTATAAATCCAGACTGGTTTTAGAATTTTTTCAAAAATTAATAGTTTATTTTTATTGATAGCTTTGACTTTTTTCCTACGAGCAATTACATTTTTATCCTCAGGTATTTGGTTGAATTATGATGCTGAATAGCGCCATTGTTTATTCTCATTTGATAACTTTTTTTCTAAACAATAAAACACAAAACTGCCAAATATTGATCGAGATATTGACCAAAACTTCTAAATGTAAATACGATGAAAATTCTGGAATTACTATTACAACAGGTACAAACAGTTAATAGATTATATTTTTACATTGTAATATTTCACAACCTGTATAATACTGAAAAGTTACTTTTTACTGAAGATCACATCAAGTCATTAATAAAAGATATAATGAAATTTCAGAATGTTGTTCATTTTTAAAACTCGACTAAGGCGTTCCCGAGATATAGTTTCCTGCAAATAACGATGAAATTAGGTGTATCGACTAATTCCTTAGTAGTTTATATTGTAAAAATTGAATATAATAGTAAATATTGAGAAAACAAAAGGATGAAACTTATTCAATCAGAATTAAAAAAAAAAAAAACAAATACATGGGGGTAACAGAAAAATAACTAATAAGAACTTTTTAAAATAATTAAACTGCTTATTGAAAACGTAGGTAAAACAAAAACAAGATGATGTTATTTGTTTTTACTTCTATTACTTTTATTTGTTCTTAAGTATTATACAGGGTGTCCTGAAATTAGACGGTCAGTATTTTAACATCCTAAAATAGGAGTAAAAGTTCATATAAACATAGGTCCAAAAACGTTTCGTTTTCAAGATACAGGGTGTTACAAGTGAAGTCCTGATGGCACATTTTCTAAAATTTCTATAGTCCTCGGTTTTTCAAAGTTAAAAAAAATAAAATTTCTGATTCCATAGGCCTACTAATTATTGTTTACACTTTCGAATAAGATAACATCAACTTATCATGAAATTTTCAAATGCTTTTCTCTTAAAAAAGGTGCGTTCTAGCGAGATGCAACAAAAGTAGCTTTATTATAAAGAAAACATTGGTTTCCCAAATTTTATAGTCAAAAAAGTTAAAAACTGTCACCAAAAAAAACTTAAGGCAATTTTACCCTAAGCCCCCCCTAATTTACCCACCTATGAAGATGATAAAAACTGGGGTTTAGTCCATTAAATAGAGCATAAAAAGGTAAGCATTCGTACCAAATTTCACTTAGTTATCTTTAAACGTTTAGAGAATATTTACAAAAGTGTGTCATCAGGACTTCAGTTTTAATACTCTGTATCTCGGAAAAGAAACGTTTTCGAACCTATGTTTATATGCACTTTTTTTAGGTTGTAGATTACGCTGTTAAAATATGACCGTCTAATTTCGGGACACCCTGTATATATAGGTTAGCTGCTTTAAATAGACTATTTTTCACTTTCTGTTATATCTTTTTTTCAGAAATTTTTGTTCGAAGTCGCCAAAAGGGATAAGGTCAATTTTGGAACAATTGATAGAATTTTTAGTCGATATACTGCATTGGTAAAGGCCAGACAAGATTTAACAGATCGGTATAAGAATTATATGGATGAATTAGAAATAATTAAAAAAACAACAGTAAGTAGTATCATATAAAAAAATTAAATGTTTAAACATTTTATTGTCTGATTTATACGTCATCTAAAATTTTCCGTGGGTGGAGAAGTGATGTAACATTCTAAATTCACAGTACGATTTTGAGATTTTTTTTTGAAATTGGTACACTTTGTATTTAGCAGTAGTTTTTATGACTATTATTGGTTTGTACATAAATTTACTCAAATTGAACCTAAAATACTGTTCTGGAGTTACTAACAATACCTACGACATATCACTGCGTACAATGCATTTCGCGTTGGTATTTGGTTTCCAGGAAGACATTTTTCTTACGTATTTCTCAAATATTCATACTATCAGTTATGATCATTATTCAAAGAATATAATCAATCATGGCTCTCCCAGACTCTATTTTTTTTTTAGGATAAAATCATTTTCGAAAAATATATCCAAATTGAAGGAATGCACAACACCATTACCGACCTGCAGCGGCGTCTAGAAACGTCCAAAATAAAGGCCAGAAATGCCGAAAAATTCGTACAGCAAGTCTTTCTTGCGGGTCAAAAGAAAGTCCAAGAAACCGAATACGCCAAACAATCCTGTTGGCAGATCTACGAACACATTTGTCAGAGGAAAAATAGAAAGCCAATTTATAAAGATGACCCAGAAAAGCAGCTTGACGTCATTAAGAAGTGCTTGAGGAAGTTGGGATTGGTTAATAGGATGGTAGAAGCGTTAAATGACGAAGATTGGACTCCTCCGACTGAAAGAGAGTCTAGCGGTGACAGTATCGTCGCAAATGTCGTTACTAGGATTTTATCGTCGAGAAAATAATGTTTTATACCAAAATATATTCGTAATATAGTAGTTTAATGAATTTTTCGAATAAAATAACAGATTAAATTTCTTTTAAAATAAACTACCCGTTAGTGATGCCGTGAGATGAGACGATATACTATAGTCTTAAATATACCAATATGTCATTCTAAAGTAGTGGATCCAATATAAAAAAATGTTTATTTTCCGGTTTTTATATACTTGTTTTTTTTTATTTACTACACTGTTCAGATCTAGTGTTTTTTTTTTCACCCACCTACTGTTCCAGCAAATTATCATCTGACAAAACTGCCCAGGATAGATCGAAAGAACTTTGCAACTACCATTTCTATAAAATATCAACTAATCACCTCGAAATACAAGTGCTGACTAAGCGCCGCGCAACAGGCAGCAAATGCTACCCCGAGATCAATCTTCCTGTCGTCCTTTTTGGGCTCTCGTATTGGTCGCGCCTTGCGAAATGTGTTTCATATAATTATTTGTGTTCAGAAGTAAAGAGATCGTTTTTGGTCTCCTTCGCCGTCGGTTCTGCTGTCGTCTGTCGTGCGTTCCCAAATGGTACCTTTATAGTTTTTAATTTAAATTTATTTACTTCATCAGGAAGTACATTTTCAATGTTGGAAAAATTAATTAAATTGCTTGATTAAATCTCATTTTAAATTTTCAAAAAATTAATGTTGATTAAGATACGGAATTAGTATAGTTGAAAAGTCAACTGATTCGAGTGATGTTTTTATTCTTCAAAGGAAGATCCTAAGAATAATAGGCAAAATTCCTAAATATAATTTCGTGTCGACCAATATTTGTAAAATACGGTATTTTGCCATCAGCTTCAAAAATTTGTTTATATGTTTTTTCTACACCCGTATTATAATAATGCACTTATATGTCCATAATCCGTTTCATAATGATACCCATTATGATACAGATTTTTCATAACGATACAGATTTTTAATCAATAGAAACCCATAATTTTTCAATCAAGCATGCTGTGCATTTGACGTTTGTCCTAGGTTCCTATGTAATTGTTTTAGTTGTCAAAATCAGTACGTATAAAATGGCATTCTGAGTAAAGTAAAAAAACAAAATAACTATTTTGTAATTTGACATATAAATTTGACATGTACATATCAAATGTAAAGCTATTTAAGAAGACTGTAAGAGATTATGTTTTAACTATTAAAAGGGTTTGTATATGAAATATTTAAAAAATATATTGTGGACATGTACTGTTGTTTAAGTCAATTATATAGTTTTTATTTTATTTTTAGTAGCCTCTATTTTAGAAATAATGCAAGGTTGCCAAATAAATTTTTATTATAGATAATATACGACAACATATTTTTGGAAAACCCATGCACGTAGCTAGGGGGGTCCTGGGTGCCCCCTTAAATTTACTTAGCATTCCCTTCTTTGGCTTCATCGGTTACAGATGTGGATCAGGAGGTAACGTGATAGTAACATTCCAGCAATTCTTCTGTAATATATTGCATTACCTTTTTTGCCATTTATTTTTTTCACATTTATTGGATATTGTTGTTGGTGTACGCATTTGGTAGGAAGGGGTGGACAATTCTTATTTTGCTTTATTAGTTTAAAGCTATGAGATACTAGAGACCACCTATATATTTATGTTTTCACATATATCCATTGGTGTCATATACAAACTGCCTATAGTTTGGTAGAGAAAAGTGACATTATTGAGTGTAAAAACAGTACATGTCCTGGACTTATACTGCTCTTCCACTCATCCAACTTAACGTAATTTATATTGCCGAACCTATTGTGTGTATTGTTATGTATTTAATCTCAATGGGTGGAGGCACATGTTATTATCGATTTGGCTATCTTAACTCAAAACGTCCATTTTTGGACTAGTACTGTTTTTTGACTCACCAATTCAATTATTGTTTTAATTGCTAACTAAAGTACAGAAAATACTGTTGGTATTAATTATAAATGAGTCTTTATGTTAAACATTATTTACTATTCATTATTTAATTTTATCTAAATAAAGTTCGGTTCAATGGTGGTTTTTTGTTTCCTAGTACTGGACAAGTATGAAAGGAGATTCGGGAATATACATGGTATTGCTTTGTTCCTTAATCTCGGCCTTTCCCTTTTTATTTTGTTAACAGTACCATTAGTTAAAATAGTCTCATCAAATTTTAAAATATCATCTTAGAAAAAGTGTGGCTCCCAAACAGAATCATAACTAGACAGTACTTTATCAGCCCTTGGAATCACATGCTGCCATTGTTCTAAACGTTTAGGATCCTATAAAAAATATTTGTAATGACTAAATTGGAGTTCAATAAAGAAAAATAACAGTAGTAACTTTTCTTCTAACATCAAAAAACATAAAAAAAGTAAATTTTCTTTTCTAGTAAGTTAAATTTAATGTGTAATTATTGTTGTTTGTAAGTCAGGATTTATGACTTTATTTTTTTTTATTATAGAATTTTGTAATTAAATAAACTACATTTCATAAGATATGAGTTGTGAGTATTTTACAATAAATATATATTATTTAGAAATAAATACATTATTTAACTTACACTAAGAGCTTTAAAAAGACTTATTTTGATCCATTTGGTCCATTTTTCCAAGACTACCTTCTATTCATTTTACTTACAATTGTTATTTAATATTGAGCTCATTACCATGTATGTATTACTATATAATAAATAATTAAAATATATTTCAAATATTTTATTTTAATGTAAATATTTTTGTTTATATTTTTTGGTGTTTTATTGCGAAAACAAACTAATATTTAGGTTAAATACAATATTTTAAAGTAAATATTAGTTTTTTTTAGAGTTATGAATGCCAAAAAAATGTAAATAAATAATAAATTATATTTGAATGAACCGCGCTTGGCCTAAAACTCTTCTTTTTTATTCTACTCTTTCTTATTCAGCCTCTAACTGGCAAGTCAATCAGCCAGTATAGTTAAAAAAAATCCGTTCCATACTAATTCGCAGCACTATACGATTCCAAAAATTAACACGGGATCCGACTATGTTTTTTATTAATTTATCTATGGCCCGAACCAGAAACTCTCATAAGAAGCCAATGCTTAACAATGACCAGCTTAACGCAGTTAACATTTAACCGACTATGTGGCGCTTTCATCGATATCAAACAACGCAGCGGGAAATTTTAAAACCTGATAAAGTTTGTATAAATATTCACTGCAGTCTCATGTTATTGTAAATAAATTTAAATAATGTAAATTATTTATTAAAAAGAATACTACACTTACAGTCCATTATCGATTAATTATTGTAAATCTATATCCATGACAAATATTTTTTAATTTTTAATCGTTATTTGTAACATTACATTTTTATTTTTATTTTCCAAACGAATTGCCAATAGTGTCTTATTTAAAAATTGAGTGCAAACTCAATAATGGGTATTCAGATATTTTTCTTTCTATATCAAATCTTCTTTCTGTTTTGAAGCAATTTTCTTGTTCTAAAACAATAAATAATACATAAATACCTACTTTGTGACTAAAGTTGGTTACTATTTGTGTTTCTTACATGACCAGATCTTACTTTGGTTAATTAAAGAACGCCACATTGGGGTTGTTAAATTTATTCATGGGGCATGTGTTACTATTGTAATACGTTCTCCTACTTATATTATAAAATATAATTATTGTCATCAAATTTCACACAAAAACAGCCGCAACTATTTCGCTTAGTTCATCTAGGGCAGCGTTACTCAAAGTATGGTCCGCGGAGCCCTAGGCCTTCGCAAAGCCTTTCTGGAAAATAATAGTCATAACAAAAAAAGCAGTAAGAGTCATTCCATACAAACTCGTCTGAAAATAATAAAAATTGTTGCCGATCCATTTTAGATTTTGGTATAACTTTGAGGAACTATTCCTTAGGGTCCCAAAGAGAAAAATTTACACGAGTTTGATTTTTATAAGCACTCCTTTCCACCTATTTAAATAAAGACTCTAAAAAATCGATATTTATAAGCCTAATCGACTTTTCCTCTAAAATTTTTCATTTTGAAGATAACTACATTATTAAAGCGGAATTCTGAGGGGGGAAAGATAGTAGTTTAAGTGTAATCATCGATAATTTGCTCAGTCAATACCTCTGATTAACGGCAGCGTGCTGAAAATGAGTGTTTTTTGATCATTTTTCGTGAATTTCAATCGACTCTACCGTCTTAACTGCTTAGACTTAGCAGCTTATGTTCCTCAGAAATTAAGTGTATATATCATAGATAAAATACAGCCACAAGACAACCTGAGCAGCCTACTCTTTGCAGAAAAAAACTTTGCTTGAAGTTTTGAAATTTTCAAAAATTGCATTATTCAGGTTATATAATGAACGTGTTGACTGCCAGATAAAAATCTGAAACTCTCAGAATCTACTGTTCTTACCTTTAATGAGTAGCCCAAAAGTCTGGAAACGGCCAATTATCTCGTAAATTGCTAGTCCTAATTGTACAAAATTTAGGGTACACCTATTTTGGGATACGCAGATTCCAGATTTGATATTTGCAATGTTGCCAGATTTTCCGTTTCTCTTATATTATTAGTCACTTTGGTTTTTCAAATTGATCACACTGTATATTAAGTCATTATTGGAATCTCCTATTCAATACGAGTTTAACCATATGCAACACTTATGATTCTATGTAGTCTGGAAGGTCTTAAATAAATAAAACAATCATGGAGAAATGTGGTAAATGCACTATAGCATCGATTAGGGTACTGTCAACTCACAAATGAAGCACATTTTGAACACTTGATAAAGTAACCATTATGTTAAAAATGGTGTAATCTTTCAATTGTTACGTTTTAATGTAGTTGAAAATAGTTTGTATTAAAAAATTTATGAGACAATTAGGCGTTGCCAGACTTCTGTTTTATTTATTTAAGACCTTCTAGACTACATAAAATCATAAGTGTTACATACGGTTGAACTCGTATTGAATAGGAGATTCCAATAATGGCTTAATATATAGGGTGATCAATTTGAAAAAGTGACTAATAATATAAGAGAAACGATAAATCTGGCAACATTGCAAATATCAAATCTGGAATTTCCGTATCCCATAATAGGTGTACCCCAAATTTCGTACATTTAGGACAAGCAATTTGCGAGATAATTGGCCGTTTCCAGACTTTTAGGCCACTCTGTACGTATAACCAATAATGCAATTTTTTAAAATTTCAAAACTTTAAGCAAAGTTTTTTTTTGCAAAGAGTGGGCTGCTCAGGTTGACTGGTTGCTCTATTTTACCTATGATATATACACCTAATTTCTGAAAAACATAAGCTGCTAAGTCTAAGCAGTTAAGACGCTAGAGTCGATTGAAATTCACGAAAAATGATTAAAAAACACTCATTTTCAGCACGCTGCCGTTAATCAGAGGTATTGACTGAGCAAATTATCGATGCTTACACTTAAACTACTTTTTTTCCCCTCAGAATTCCGCTTTAATAATGTAGTTATCTTCAAAAAGAAAAATTTCAGAGGAAAAGTCGATAAGGCTTAAAAATATCGATTTTTTAAAGTCTTTATTTAAGTAGGTGGAAAGAAGTGCTTATAAAAATCAAACTCGTGTAAATTTTCTTCTTTGGGACCCTAAGGAATAGTTCTTCGAAGTTACACCAAAATCTAAGATGGGTCAGCTTTGCCAATTAGACGATTTTAAATGGAATGACTCGTAAGCAGTACCCATCGCTACAACGGGACTTCGGGACCTTTTTTTTTTAGAAGTCAGGAAGAGGAAGGGTATATGATTTTGGTATGAGGAAAGAAACGGGAGAAGCCTAGCAAGAGGCTAAAGCAAGGAGGATTTTTGTTTAGATATGTGTTTAGGAATATTTCACCAAAAAAGTTTGAGAACCACTGATCTAGAGGATAACAACCATGAACTCAAAATTTAAAATTTAAATTCAGGATTTTTCTATATACATAAAACTGAACTAACATATTTACAAACTGTCCACTGCTGTCAACATCTACCGTCTGTCTCAATGTTGGCAACCGTACGATATAAATCGCATTTATACGTTTTTTTAACTCTCCGTACGATGAACGATTACGTCAGTGATATCGTACATAAAAATACGATCCTCACTTTTCTAGTAGGTTTATTTAAATATCTGCAACAACTTCAGAACATAAAACAATAAAAATTAAAAACTACTTGCAAAGATTCATAGGCCGTTCGTAATTTCTGAAGGCAACCATTTTCGTTCTCACTTATTGCGATTTTGACCATGGTGATTTTGTACGAACACCGACTATCACGGCATAAGAAAAGCTTGCATGCAAAATTTCAATAACTTTCAAGTGACAGTCATTGATTACTTTAAATGTGTTAATTTAAAGTGTCTTGTATATTCTTTAGTTTTTTTTTTTCGTTGTAAACATTTTTATAAATAGATAAAATAAAGTATCATGCCATTATATTTAAGTTGTATTATGCTATACATGTACCTATTGTACAATTTTTTTGTCGAAATACCATTTTTCTACTCTACTTGTACGATCTCTCAAAAAATATTGGTCTGTCCAGAGATAAGGGAGATAAAGATAGGAACGCTCATAAGAAGCCAATGCTTAACAACGACCAGCTTTAACGCAGTTAACATCTGAGCCACTATGTGGCGCTGTCATCGATATCAAACAAATATCGCAGCGGGAAATTTAAAAATCTAATAAATAATAAAGGTTGTATAAATATCGACGGCACTCTCAACTCTCACGTTCTGGTAAATAAATTTAAACAATGTAATTACGCTAAATTATTTATTAAAAGAAATACTACACTTAGGCCCATATTTATAAACAGAACTTACTTGAGTCGGACTTGGGTAAGTCGTCCTTGAACGAAAATCGAAGTTCGGTTATATCGCGTGAATTTAGAGATGGGTAGTAACAAATCCGTAAATGTATTTAACAGTTACAAATTTGCTAATATCCATCTCTAAATGCCAGTGTAACACCGGAACCACCTAGAACTTTAGAGACGTTGTAACCGAACTTCGATTTTAGTTCAAGGACGACTTACCCAAGTCCGACTCAGCTGAGTTTTGTTTATAAATACGGGCCTTACTATTATCGACTAATTATTGTAAATCTATTCATAGATAACAAATATTTTTTAATTTTTGATCGTTATTTGTGACATTAACATTTGTGTTCTTATTTTCCAAATGAACGGCCAATGATGTCTTATTTAAAAGTGTTGAGTGAAAACTCAATAATGGGAATTAATATATTTTTCTTCCTATATCAAATCTTCTTTATAACGTTTTGAAGCCATTTTCTTGTTCTAAAACAATAAATAATAAATAAATACCTACTTTGTGACAAAAGTTGGCTACTATTTGTGTTACTTACATTACTATAGATCTTACTTTGGTTAATTAAAGAACACCATATTGGGGTAGTTACATTTATTCATGTGGCATGTGTTACTAATGCAATACGTTCTCCGACTTATTGTAATATTACAAAATATATTTATTGTCCTCAAATTTCATACAAAACAGCCACAACCATTTCGCTTAGTGCATCTAGAAGATAACACAATCGTGAACTCAAAATTTAAAATTAAAATTTAGGATTCTATATACTATACGTACAACTAACTAACATTTATATTTACAAACTGTCCAAGTCTTCTGTCTGTCTCATTGTCTGTCTACAGATGACGTGCACCTTTAGTTAACATCTGAGACGCATAGATGACGCCATCCTTACTGCGGTCGCTGCGTTTCCTATCTTTATGTCCCTAATCTCTGGGTCTGTCTACAAACGACGTTAACATCTGAGACGCATAGATGACGCCATCGTTGCTGCGGTCGTTGCGTTTCATAAAATCTGTCTTGATAAAATCCAACAATATGAGAAAATAAAGGCATGATTGGTCACGATTCTGTTCCCCTTATTCGAATCAGTACACTAAAATTCAAAGACATATTCCAAACTCACCCTGGTTTAAAAATCATATAATTCCAAGACACTACATTACATCTTTAATTAGAACCAGATTTGGTCATGCCATTTATCCCAAACACTTGTTTAAATTTAATGTAAAACAAGATGAAAATTGTGACTTCTGTGAAACAACTGGAGACCTTAATCACGGTTTCTTCGAAAGCAAGAAATACGCAGTACAATCAAACACGCTTTATATGAATCTTATAAAAAATAACATTCCATCCCCCTTAAACATTTTTCTGATGATATCAATTGCCTCTTACAATTTCTGAAAGACACCAAGATTCGTCTATGATTGGAATCTTAATCTTGTTTCCTCTGTATATTACCTATTTGTTTACCCTCTTACCGAGGTCTAATTTTGTTTGTCTATTAAAAAAAAAACGTTCTGATGGGTCTCTGGACGAGAAGCGAGTGTCCCTGTCCTATATTGTTTATTGTTTTTCTTCTTACGCCTTTTGTTGTTAGGAAATATTCTTGTGTAGTTCTAATTATGGACGAATTTGTGTCTGGCTGAATGGCAATGTACCTATGCAAAAAAAAATAACTGTAGTAATGATTAACTGTCAAATATATTTTTTTCTTATTTTTAATGCTGAGTTGGGCTTACTTTTAATTCACTTTTTAGATATATTACATAGTCTATTTAAACTAGGGTTTGTTATAGCACAAAATTAAATTATTAGAATATTAAATAGAGAATTGGATTAAAATAGACCCCTAAATTTCAAATAAAAAGCACCTAATTCATTTGAAATTGTATAAAAATCAATTTACTGATATTATAATACTCTAATACTCTAAAATATATAAAAATAAAAATATATGCACCACTAAATAATAATAAAATATTAGATTGTTTATATTTTCTGTTCCCTCGATTTGTATTTCTGCGACGTCACACCTCCTACCTTGCCAACAGGAAGAGGCCACCGTAGTAATTTACGAACCGTGGGCCCAGTTGGGCCGTGGGCCAGAGATTAGTTATCTCTGCCACAATGAGGTAGAATACTACCTCCATGCTCTGCCGTGGGCATTTATAGAATTTTTAAACTGGCAGTGCAAATAGGTCATAGAGTGCTAATCGCTGATAAGTTTAAATGACAACCATCACGCTGTCAAATTGACTTGCTCATTTATAAAACCGACATTTTTTCTTACGAAATAAATACGTTAAATCACTAAAAATGGACAATAACCAATTTCTAGCCAGTAACTCTCCTCGATTAGAATTTCCCAATTTACCACGATGGGACTGTGTTTCAGATTACATTCAATCCAAAGCCTTTTCAGCTATGGACAAGTAAGTATCCTTTTTATGCGTGGAGAATAGTAAAGCAATTGGAAATGGTTACTGTTTTGCACATACATAGTCCTAAAAATTTGTTATGTCTTTCATTCAACCTGATGCAAAGGATTTTTTTTAGAATTTCTACAATGCAAATATCTGTTTGGAAACTTTCTACTTATTTATATATTCTTTTTTTCTCTTATCCTGCCTTTTAAAGCGTCGGATTGTGATCCATTTTCTTCATAAACCCTTGTCATTCATTTTTTTCTGTTCTTGGTTATTGCCTTAATCTCTATCAAACGTTTCTCCTTATCAATTCAAATCTATTTCATCTTTGCAACCAATTTTCTCATTGGTCTTCCTACTGATACATTTTTCTTGATTTTGCTATTTCCATTGCTTTTCTCGCCAGTATGTGTGGTTTTATTCTTACTAAGTGACCAGATCAGTATATTTCCTTTCGATATTTTTTAATTTTTGTTTCTGTTTTGCAGAACTGGGGATTCGAATCCATAGGATTCCAATCTCAGGATTCGAATTCTTTTTGAGGATCTGAGAGAGGTATTCGAATACTTAAGAAAAAAAGGATGATCCGGATTCGCCGAGAAAATCCTAAAGGATTCGTATTCGAATCACCAATATTAGTCTCGGATCCTTTTATAGACCAAACTACGCTGGCGCGAACGGTCGACTCAAGCTTTGACTTGTGAAATGTAAACTGAAATAAACTGACTGAAGACCATTTGTGAATATTTAGAATATAAACGTAGGGTCGATTACAATATTTAGATGAACACAGGTACGTTTATCAATTGGCGGAGTAATTCGTTGACTATCGCTGCCTACTGGGGGTTTAGTGGCTTGTTAATATTATAGGAATACAGGAATACCATTTTTAAACCAAACAACATATTCTTTATTTATTGAAAGTTATAGATGATATATATTGGAAATTGGAAATAATAGTTATGACGTAACGGTGATCTTATAATTAAAATCGGATTTTAATAATCTACAAATTATCAATGAATATCCAACATAAAAAATCCTAAAATTTAAAACTTGCCTCGAAGGACAGATCAAAACTTTGAAATTTTGGTGCTATGTAAGGCCAACCAAAAGACATTTTTATTTCATTGTTTATTTATTATTTTGTTTATTGTAATAAAATAAAATATATTTTTGTAGTTTCTAATTTATTTATGGTTCATATTCGTAAAAAAAATAGTTTATATTATTCAACATCTTCTTGTATCAACCATTTTTATAGACGACATAGTCCGTAATAGACACATAGTTGATAGTAGAGAATATTAGTTTTGGAAGCATACATACACTGATACTGATTCGTATTCGTGATCCGAAAAAATGGATTCGCATCACTTGATTCGAATCCTTTTTTTGTAAAACGGATTCGGAAATAGGATCCGTGATCCGAATCACATCTCGTGATTTGCATTCGTGATTCGAATCTATTTTTTGAGGATTCGTCCCAGCTCTGCTGTTTAGTCAGTTTTCTTATATCTTTATTCTTTGTCCCATTTAGTTTTTTTAAATGTTTCTTTTCCACTGCATTAATGTTTTATTTAGTATACAGTTTTCGTTAGCTAAGTTATTGATGGTACTGTAATTATGTTTCGAATTTCATTTTTGTGTCTGTATCAATATCTTTGTCCTAGTATTGTTTATTTAAGGAGTAATATGTATATTATAGTTAATTTATTTTCCCTGTTTGTAAGTTTCGCATCTATTCTTCCTTTTATGGCTATATTCTTACTAGGTATATTCTTTATATATTCTAGAACATTTTTTTTATAGAATATATCCAGAATTCGATGTAGTCCGTATGGACGATCCAAAAAATAGCTTAGCTATGCTGGAAGTGAGGCTTCAGTTCACTGAGAAGATGTTAGCTCAGAGAAGGAAAAATCTTGCAGACATGAGGAAAGATTTGGACCAACAATGGAAGGAATTGGACGAGAAGGAGACGGATCTGCGAAACAGTTTTAAGACCTTTGATGCGGTAGGACACCTTCAATTTTTTCTTAAGTTCACTTGTTAGATAATTTAAATGCACACCATTGTGATTTCGTAAATCCCTTAGAGACACAAAGTAAGTTAAATGGCTAAAGTGGCCAATTTATGACACCACCCAACTGATGTTTTGAAATTCACGCAGATACTAGTAGAACATCAACAAAGTATTTGTCCATACAGTGGTTGTGATAAGAGTTCTGCTCTAAGAATATTTACTCTACACATAGAATTAAGTGATTTTATAATTTATTCGTTATTTATTAATACATCATATAAAGATAAGTTAAACTTCCATTGATTGTGAAAGGTCATATAGTTGGTTTTAGTGGGATTTATTACCTATGTAAAGGTTACAAACCAAGCAATAAAATGTTGCCAACTGTTGGCAAAATGTTGACGGATGTTGGCAACTTGTATCCAGAATGCCAAAACCAGTTGCGCGTCCAAATTAAACGCAGTATTTACAAGTAGCATTTAAAAATGGATATATCTATTGCTGCTGGTGTTAGTGCTGCTTTTATCATAATTGCTTTCCATGTCCAGAAACGGAAAAGAAGATATTGGCAGCGACAGTTTTCACAAAATGGGACAAGCTATGGTGACAACTTAAGGGGCGTTTGATTTGAAACTCGATCGAGCGAGCGTCGAGGAGACCGAGAAGTGATGACGTCACAATAGAGCATTGAATCAAAACAAATAAAACAGAGTAAAAAAACATAACCTTGCTTTTTTGTGATTCTTGTTTCTGGTTTGTGTGTCAAAATAGTGAGCAAAAAATAAAGAAAATGGAAAAACTTAATAATAATGGGTAATGGCCCTGAAATGCAGCATATACCACAAATGCCCGCTTCGCTCTCATACTCCATGACTGTGATTACAGGTGATTAGATCTGGATAGAGAAACACACATTTTAGCTATAACATAAAAGCGGCGAAGTAATTTGTTGACTTCTTGTCTGGTCTTTAATTTTGAGATTCAAATTTGTATGTAAGTTAATTAAAAAGACATAGGTAGGGACAAAGACAAATTTCTCCCTCTTCTTGATCCTTCTGCTCTGAGAACATCAAGCTCGCTCTATGTTCTCGCTCCAAAGCAAAACAAACCCTTTAGGGATCTCTCGGAGTGTCAATTCAAACACGTTTGCAGCGCTCGGAGATCTCCGATGGTCAAATCAAACGCACCATTAATGGCGGAGATACTTTTGTTCCGCAATTTCGCAATTTCGAAGAAGTCCTCTGGTAGACCCTAAAATATTGTAAAAGAATACGAACTACCGTACTGCGATTCCACCATCAATCAGATTGATGGTTGCTCTGCGATATATCGCTACAAGAGATTCGTTTACGAGTCCAATGTAACTTTAAAAAAAATATCGAAACAATCAATCTCCTTAATTGCACCCGCAGTATATGAAGCCATCATTGAAGTGCTCAAAGGATATTGTCAGGTAAGGGAAAAGTAAACAAGGAAATTATTTATTCATAATTGTCTTTGGGTAAAAGAAATTCGCTACATGCTGCCAATAAAGTGGATCGAGATTCTGATGGAATATTTAAATACTGTTTCTACTTTGAAGTTTTCATAAAAAAGTTCCACGTTTAATCACGAATCAATTTTAAACAAAAACATTTTTTTTAATAACAAAAAAATGAAATTTACTATGAAAAATAAGCCCACACAGTTAGATGAAGCTAATATTATTTAACGTACCTACTAGCTGTAGAAAATAAAATAAAGCAACGAAAGTTATTCTCACTATATACTGTTTTGACGTTACTTGTTGACAACACCGTCCAGACTGAGCGATGTTTACCATTTCAGATTGAAAACATGGATACATAAGGCGTTTTCTAATATTCAACGATGCCATCTAGATTTCATCAAAACTGGTCTTTTATCCATCAACATTTTTTAGATGAGTCATACATCATATTCTTAAATTCAACCTAATTCTCAGATGGTTGTCACCAAATCCATCAACTCGATTATGTTGATGCACTGATGGATCACGTGACATAACCTTTAATGATTAATTAATATTAAACAGATAAGGAATTGGGAAAAGTTTGATTAAAATTCCTAATAATATGAATGAAGAAACTCATTGGGTTTCTTTAAACCAACCTATAAGTGGGCTAACTTTTAAAACAAGATTGTTAGCGTTAGATATACAGCAAGCAAATGAAGACAGTTACATATTTTTTCAATTATTGTATTGCCCGTACTTGTCTTTAGTTTTTATGTTTATCAAAAAGTCGTCGAATTGTTTGTTTTCAATAAATAAAGACAATTTGACGTTAGGATTATAAAATCACAAGTGTCAGTCGTTCTCAAATAATTTTCATCAGATAAAAATCATGATTGCAGCAGTCGGCCATTTATTGGTCACGTGATCCATCATCAGTACATCAGTTTGTTGAATATTAGAAAACGCCTATAAAACAAACAACAAAATCTGTCAACTTGTTGAGAGTTGATGGGATACATGTTGGCAACAGTGTTGACAACATGTATCCTGGCGATTGTTGTCCGGTCTGTACTTAGCTTATGAGGTGAGCCTGCTTATTAGTGTATTACAAAATAAATTTAAGTTATTTTAAATATTTGACTGTGATTTGTCGGTAATGAGCGATGTTGCATCGTCTGCATCTCAACAAGTAAGACATTGTGATATACTGTTAGGTCAACTAAATAGAGAATAATAATGGAGTGAATAAAAATGGACATAGTAACCTCGTTTCCAAATCAAAATAATGTGAATCTAATTGTCTACATCTTGTATTTATAGGAACCAAATAATGATTTTCCCAAAATTTGCGAAAATGTGTTATTAAAAGTTACAAGGAAAATTGATAGGTTTCTTTTTCAATTGCAGTTCGTCAAAGAGAACAACAACAAAAGAGAAAGAGCTCAAAAAAAGATCAACGAGGATAAGTTGATGCTACAGCAGACAAGACAAGAAATTGAAAAATGTAATAAAGATTATCTCGAAATTAAAAGTGCTAAGCACGAAATGGATCAGAAAATCAAAGAATACCGTTTGTATGAAGTAAAACACCTGTATATAGAAAAATTCACCAAACACGTTAATATACGTTTTATTTTATTTTTAGAATTACTTAAATAGATGCGTTGATGCTTCAAAGGAATTTGAATCCAGTCAAGAGCTGATTAACCGGTATCTTTCTTTGTTAGGTACCAAAAATTATTTGGCGGTACTGCAAGAAAATAATTTGAGAGCATTAGAAAGCGCAAAAAGTGATATGGTAATTTTTTAATATTAACTATTTTTGCAATCGAAGTTAGAAATTTGGTGAAATATCTATTATAAGTCTTCTCTAGCAAATGGAGCAACATATTCATGATTTGTACCTGTTCAATTAACTACATAAAATTAATCAAATATTATACTATACAGGTTCGGAAATTTAAACGCGGACCATATAAGCCAAATTTATTAGAAGTCGTATGTACCATTTGTCTGGCGCTCAGCGCTGCTTAGTTTTCCTTTTTCGTTTCACACATGGTCCTATTATACTATTATCCAATTCATTACGAAATAGATAGTGCTCGTCTAGATTTCCGTACTTGTACAGGTTAAAACATTAAACTTGCTTTTAGATGAAATTGATAGAAGAGAAGAATTTCATTTTAATGGGTTTGAATAACCAGATTGCTGCTCTACAAGCAAGATTTGAAAATGCCAAAATAAAATCTTTAGAATGCGAACAATTAGTTCTACAAATTAAGAACAATGCGGTTTGTATTAAATTATTTTTTTGCTTTGTTTCTAATATCAGTAATCGTTCTTGTTATTTAAAAAAGCAAGCAGAATAAATTTCAAAAATTAAATTTACTTCGAGCTCCCTGCTCTGATCTGATCTGCTCTGGTCTAAAATATCAGAGACAACCTAGCGAGACGTGTAACTCAATGTATTTTTTTTTTGGTAATCGCAACCAGTATATCATGGCGCACTAGTCAAATTTATTCTATTCTTAACGCCTCTTACTGCTGTATGTATTCAGTCATAAGAAGCGGGAACATTTAAAAATGTTTTAGGGCGGAACATTCAAACATGAATAGTTTTTCTATACAAATTTACAGGAGGAATAAAAACTATTGTTTCACTATTATATTAAAAAATGTAAAAATTTACCATAACATCAAATTTTTTATTATACATATAATTAGTGATGCCGCGAGATGAGAGATTTTTGTCTCTCGTCTCGTCTTGTCTCTTCTCGTACAAAACGAGAAAGACTTTCTCTCGAAAAAAGATTCGAGACGAGACGAAAGAGTGTCATCTCTCGACGAGAATATCTCGTTTCTCTCGAGCTCTCTATAGCAATTTACTTTTTGCTTCTTTAAAATTTTCAATTGCTTATCGTAACTTAAAATTTAAAAATATCAGATTTCCAGATAGTCAAAAAGTTAACTATAACACACCTTTTCTATATACACAGTGAATTTTAAGTTGGAGCGCCTCAATTATTTTGGAAATAGCTTGCACGATTTTTAAATACGGCCGACATTATCGTTGTATTTAAATTGTTTAGATCTTTTTGCTTTCTGGAAATATAATGAACTTTATTTACAACCATATATGTAATGCTATCATTACTAACATCATTGAAGGTTGGGAAGTGCCACATTACACACCTCTACTTCCCGCCCTCATTTCCCGCCCTCATTTCCCGTTCTCATTTAATCTATTCTAGATTAATATTTTTTATATTTAAAAAAATAACACTTTTTTTGACAAATTTTATAATACCTATTTAATGGCAAACAATAAAAAACAACAATGAACTAAAATACAACAAACTACTTATTGATATTTATTATTCGCGAATTTAATATCCGACTTTATCTAACATTTATTTATATTGGTGACAATTGTTTACCCCGTAATCACGGTAACAATATATTAACTTGATTATTCTGAGAAAACAGCACGCTTGGTAATTTGTCGTTAAATATAATATTTTAGGTATGTTCAGAACGAAACAGAGATTTATTAACTTTGATCGAAATATGATGGTTGTAAATAAAATAGTATACAAAGCTCGGTGGGAAGTTTCATTCCTGTCTTGAGATCATAGCTAACATCTACGCTTCGCGTCTCGGTGATCTAACTAATCTCACGACAAGAATGAAACTCTTCCAACCTCGGTGTGTAATATACTATTGTTATTTCAAATGAATATTTTTGGTATATGGAACATTACATGAAAAATAATCAGTATTTCTAAAGGATTTCAAGTCATTATTATACAAGTTTAAAAGCTAAATACAAAAGTTTGATCAAATGGAATAGTGCAATAGTGTTCCATGCCGTAGATGTTTTAAATTAATTAGAGTTGATATGTTGATAGATTTAGCTGGCAGGCAGTGATACAATGATACAAAGTATCAGTACCACAAAGTACCACTAGCTCTCCTTCTTTGTATAAAAAACTAACCAACGGACAGAATCGTAATAATTTCCATTCAGTCAAATTTTTCGGAGCCTACTTTTGGAGATAAATTGTAAAGACAGCAATTTTTAGGTGTTTTCTCGGAAAACTGTCAAAGAAAAAGTAAAACAAATGAACGTATAATATATTTTTAACAAGTTTCAAAATGCTTTCATTTGATATTATAGAAAAAAAAATTAATTCTAACTTCCAAATGAAACCCTAGCCCCTCCCAACTGACTTCCAAGACAAAGTATTTACATTTTTAGTTAACGCCCAATTTTGGCCACTGATTACTTTAAATTTCAATTGTTTATATCAAATAGTGTTTAAGTAAAACAACTGTAATTTTCTTATTTGATGAGACAAATTACTTGAAAAACTATTTGTTATTGTCTTTACAGTTTTTTCATGTTTCGTTTTAAGTATATCTTTTCCAAATTTGATATGTTTTTATCATAAGAGAAATGAAACGAGACGAGACAAGACAAGACGAGAGAATGGCTCTCTCGAACGAGAGACGCGTCTTCTCCTCGAGACGAGAGAACAGTTCTCTCTCTCCCTACGAGACGAGAGAGGCTTCTCTCTCGTCTCGTCTCGCGGCGTCACTACCGATAATTAATTTTAATGAAAGAAGTTTTATTCATAGTTTAATATACGCAGTGAACATAGTTTTTATTACTTTTGTAAATCTCGCTAAAAAAATTATATTCTATTCTATTGATTATTTATTAATATTTAAACTTGGAAAAATAATACAAACTACAAGTGCTACGTTTAGAAAATATCTCGTCTTGCTCTTGTAATGTATTGTTTGGCAACATTTTTGAAAAAATATTAACCAATAATTCCACCAGCCCATAAAGTACACCAAAAAATGATTTGTAACGGCGCGGTGCCTCAATAAATAAATGTGAATTTTCTCCACACCAAATGCAGCAATTTTGCGTGTTTATATATCGATACATTTTTGCCAGACTATCGTGCCATTTGAACAAATGTCGCTCACGTTAGTCTGGCAAAAAGGTATCGATATAAGCCTAATCGTTTTAAAAAGTCTGTGGCTAACAGACTCGTCCGAATTTCGCAGACCCGGTTCATTCAAGGTAGTCCCTTGATCGATTGCCTGAGCCTAAATGAGGCTTCAGCAGCAAAGGCATGAATGCATTTTGTTGTTACCTGGAACCCACTGCCTGAAAGTGCGAGAATTGGAGAAAATAGACGATTAGTCCTCAGTTTATTAGAGGAGTTTACCCAGGAGAAAGAAAATAACGGACCAATTCCATAATTATTGCTGAAATGGCTCATACCAAATTTTCGTAACTTTGGAGAACACAATAATTTCTAGTTGTCTGAGTATTATTGTCGTTTTAGTTTACATTTTATGTTCGCTTTTTAGGTAATAAAATTGAACGAAATCGAGGAAGTGAAAGGTTCAATTTGGAACGTTTATTGCCACATGGTGACTTCCAAGAAACACACCATCAAACTGAAAAAACATGAAATAGAAGAACAAATGTTATACGTAAAGCGGACGCTCACAGAAATTGCAAAAGTCAATCAAATTTTACGGAAGAGAACCAAAGCCGGCGCCAAGAAAGAGAAAAAAGGCGACAAAAGTGAATGAAACATTTAAAAAATGTAATATTAAATAGTTTTTAGAAAAAAATTGCGATTTTTATTTAAAATGTTAACTGACATACTTGTCATATTGACCGGCTCCTATTAACAACCATGTCGGCCATATTGACCGGTACGAATGTTTTAAGCAAATTACCGCTTAGCAGTAATTTTCAAAAATAAATTGTAGACTATTAGTAAATTGTTTATTATTTATTATTACATTTGTTTAGAAACTCTTCTGTCTTTATTTTTGATATCAGACCTTTAAACTTTACTTACAATAACAATTTTTGTAGATTCTTCTAATTTTAGAACAAATTAATTCATGATTCGTAGGGTGATTTACGCTCTAGACTAGAAGACAATAAGACCGGCATTGGCGGCGTATAATAGACATTAGTCTTATTGTACGCTGCGCCGGTCTATATGACCAACGTTAAGATAAACATAATTTTTAAAAATTTCTTGACTAATCCTTTTAACTTATTAACACATTAATCGCCATGTCGGTCACATGTGAACAACAGTGACAGTCATAATTAGATCATATCGGTGTTCATAGGATAAAAACATTAAATTTTCTTTCCTATCTAAGAAAATTAGGTCAGGACCACCCTGTAGATGTTTAACAACCTATTCCAAAAATAAAAGTTTTTATCTATCCCCTTTTTTGTTTTGAAGAGAATAAGTACGATTTCTTTATTTTCTAAGTGCCCAATTAAAATAACTACTTCGTAAGTATCCGTGATTGCTGTACCATTAAAATATTTATTTGTTTACGTTCAAAAGTCATGAAATGGTGACCTAGGAATATTTTATTGCTAGAATTTTTAAGAGCACTTAGTTTTAGAAACAAAGAGTGGTCCTAAAGAACGAATTGCAAAAAGCAAGAATACAAAAATGAATTACACTATAGGAGAATATTATAGTAATAGTACAGTGCCATGGTTGTATGCTATCAACTATGAAGATGCCAATTGGGTCATTACCAGTTCTTTTATGATATTTACAATGCAAACTGGTAAGTTAGACAATTTAATTTTTTTGCGTAATAAATTAATAAAAATTAAAATAAAAAATAATGAACTGTCAAGATAATTTCTTGGACTGTCAAAAATAAATGAAGTTTGTATTGGAATCTTTGGACCCAAGAGGAAAACAACGATTTCAGTAAATGTTGGAAAATACGCAACAATGTTCCAGGCCGAACTAATAACCATACAATACCGAGCAAGATAAATAATAAATCAGTAAGGATCAGACAAAACCACTGCTATCTCCTTTGATAGCTAAGCAGCTCTAAAGCCATTTCTCTCACCATAAATCAAATCACGACTGACTATCTAGAAGATCTGATAGAGCCAAGTAGTCAAAACAAAGTGACCTTAGCCTGGGTATCAGGCCACGAATAATATCAGAGCAATGAAAAGCTGACGAACTACTCCAAGAAGGCTCAGATAAGGACATACAGGCCCCGAACCCTTCTGTATAGTTGCATGCAGGGCATCCATCAAACAATAGATACAGAAAGCCTCAGAAACGGTAGATCAACTATCCATGAAAGAGAAAGGTAAAAGAGTTTATTAAGGAACTATCGATCAAGTTATCAAAATTGACAAATTGTTATGATAATAGTAGGTCTTCTTACCGAACACTGTCCTCTAGACAGGCACATGAACGTTATTATTCCAGCAGAAAAAACCTTGTGCAGATTATGTGATTAAGAAGAGAACACATCAATATACGTGATGTGCCAGTGTAAAGGCCTGACCAAATTAAGGTGTCTAACACTAGATGAAGAAAAGCCAGAAGCATATAAATACATGCATAAGAGCCACTGTCAATGCTACTAAGTCTAATAAAATAAACATATGCTAGATGACACACTCTATTCAAAACTACTCAACAAAAAAACCAAATGACTAGACAACAAAAAATGAAAGAGAGGTAACTAGTATCAACTATACAACATCTACAATCAAATACAGTTGAAGTGGGATGAGTAACTTAAAATAGTATTTCTAGTAACGGAAGAATAGATTCAGAGTTTTGCAGTAAATTTAGCCCATCCAAATTTCCAATGAGGATTAAAGTTGCAATAAAAGTAGAAGTAAAAAAAGGCAAGAAGAGACTAAACTGGTGTGATAGATAACATTAGATGGTGGGTTGAAAAAATAGAAATTACAGAATAGCTTTAAAAAAAATTAAGAAAAAAGAAGGAAGACTAAACTCTAAATTCAAAGTTTGAAAAGGCAGAGTATCAAGGAAGAATAAAGAAAAAAAAAGAGGAAGAGGGAGAAATAAAGAAAAATTATAATATTCACATTGATTTATTAGGTTGACTACTATACAGCTTTAGGCATAAACGCTCTATCAACTTCTTTTCTATCTCGGTTCCAGATGATACATCATTTTACTTTTCTAAATCCTTTATTACCTATTTTATCTTAATTACGTTTCTATTTAGTTAACATTTATTTTAACCAGCTTTTAGCGTCTCTTGAGAGTCCACAAAGTTTAATTCTAGGTGCTCTTCAATATTTTAAGTTATTATTAGAACACAATATGAACATTATTATTTTCATATATACTTAGATATAAACAATATTAATCTTGTGTGTTTTTCAGGCAAAATCTTTGCAATACTAATTTTCTACTAAAATCTTTTGAAAATTTTATGGTGAAACTTTGGTTTTCCGTAAGATAAATAACTAAAACGTATATATTTTCTAATTTGAATGAATTATAAATCATTTATTTATTAGCATTAAAATGTATGCACTTACCTAGAATGATTTTACAAAAATTGTCAAATTAAGTAAATCATCTAATTATGCCAATTTTATTTAAATGAGCCTTAAAAAATCGTGATTGTTTGGATTTAATTCATGTTATACCGGGTGTTTCGTGATTTAAGGAGTAGAAAACCTTAAGGCCCGCGTTCGTGACAAAAAATATTTATTTTAAATAAATTGGCTCCAGGCAATACAAGTTAGGTAAATTATTTTATAATTTCTTTGATTTGTTTTTCTAAAAACGATTACCTAAGTAAAGATAGCAAAGACCAATTTTGTAATATCTTAGATCCAACAAAGGAGGATAGTTCTTACACTAGGATATCAGGACAATTAACATAAAATGCAAGTAATTTTAAATATAATATACTTTTTTTAATAATGAGCGTTATATCAGCAATCTATCTTAACCTAAATAAACAGAAGCTTAAAACTAAACAATCACCCTTTAGCATCTCTTAGGTACTAGGTACTTTTACTTTTAACTTACACAAGATCTACATTTTTTGTATTCTTTGGTCTTTTTTCTTCAGGACCAAGGACGTTCCCTTGTGGTACGCTTGCTTTTTTATACTTTGTAAAATATATCTGTTATGATATGATTTTAGAAGGTGCTGCTTTAGGACCATTTGTCCTAATTTTATTATAAGTCCTTTATGCAAGACTTTATCAAACGCCTGAGCGATGTCGAGGAACAGACTTCTTTCTCTTCATAGACTTTATCCATCTGGTGACTTTATTGTGTAACGTTGTGTGCTGAATCTGAATTGATGATCTTTTGTTAGATTTTTGTGTAGAGTGAAATAGGTTGGTATTGTAATGTACATTACTTTGTACTAAATAATACTTCAGCAATTAACACTAGGAACCATAATATATTGATTATAAAACATATATAAACAACACGAAGAGTAACTTGACTTGTGTTCGCGATCATGGTTAATACTCTAGTTCGGTGTGATGTCATTTTGGTTCCACTGACATTTAATTCTAACCAAACATTTAACAAAAACATCAATAAATTCGACATATACGTTTTTACTGTTTTTAGTTTATTTCTAAATATTGTTTATAGGTCATAAAAAATAGTTTAAAGGTATGTAATTGGCAACTAAACGATTGTATATTTGATGCATGTTATCTACTTACTTCAGGAATATATTTATACAAGTGAAGAAACGATTAAATTTAGGTAAACAAAACGAACAAAACGCACTCAAAAAATCTACTGTCACTTTAATTGTCAGTGAAACCATAATTACATCATCACTGAACTAGCGTAATAAATTAAGGGCCGATGATGCGGCGTTGTCAAGTGTTATCATTTGGCAGTACACGCCCTTCCTAAAATAAAAAGAAGAAATAAACAATTAGAATAATAAAACAAAAATTAAACAAAAATAAAACAAAATGTTTCTATAAACTGAGCCTTGTAGGGGCGTTGACAGCACGACCACTCCTCGTCATTACAATATTATTTTCAGGTTTATATTTATCTTTTATCTTCGCTGAAATATAAGTTGAGGAGGGTCCTCAGGTTCAATTCTGACTTTTGTCTATTTCGTCTATATATACCATCATCTTCAGTTCTCAATAGAAAATCATTGGGACCTGATTTGTCTAGCACTGCCTATGGCTGACTGGGGTAGATATCGCTTAACTGCTTTGTAGATCTATTGTAGTACTTTGCTTGTTTTTATTATTATCCTCCATTATCCTTTTAAAAGCTTTTATAGGGAATTTAGAGCAATGGCGATTTGCCCATAAGGGCACTTGAGCACGTGCCCTAGTATAATAAAAAAAAACTTACATATTTTATATTTTCCTCAATGCCTATTATTATTTTATCTAATATTCAGCGCAAACCGCGTTGGCACGACACTGGACGACCGAGCGTTGAGTGACGTTCCGAGAATTCCGTAATTAAGTGGAAGATGGGCATAGTAAATGTGTGCCTCTGTTGTTTCCTCTCTCATTATGATGCGAAAAACAAGGACAACGACAATATCGCTTAGCAAGAGATAAAAACATGCGATGGATTATACGTCACAAGCGGCGCGCTGTCCTCTTCGTGACGTGCTGTACCCATGGCACAGATTACCTAGACCAGATACGAATGTACGCAGCGGCATCTTTACCGGCTCCCTAACAAAGGCGATGCCGGTTTCGGCTTAAAGTGCGCGTTTGTTGGACCATGATAATAATTTATTTATTGTTATTACGAAAAAACGTTAGTTGGACCATTGGAATAGTAAGAAATAAAACTACAAAGAAAAATAACTTTTTTTTATGAAGCAGTCAAAAATATGATGAAAAAAAATCAATAATATTTATAAATGGGACAAAATTTTAATTTTTCTTTTGGTTTTGTCTGACTTTCTCGAGGATTTCAAATCTCTGTTTGCATATTTAGGAGTATAAAAAATTCTGAGTGTTATAAATAATCACTGATCTGTATTATTTTACTGGATAGGATATAGGCTATTTTTAACATACTAAAAATCCGTTCCACCAAGGAGACCGGAAATGCAACACTGCTGGCCGATTTGGGCAAATTATGGTGGGATCACAGAACTGAATTTTGGGATAATTTGACATACCTAACCTATAATTTGATTAGTTTTTCTTCTTATTCTTCTTCTATTCCTTCTGCGGGAAATGTCCTTCGGGACAATTCACCCATAATTTGATTTTTTATGAAACAAAATATAAAAATGGAAACGTGAAGCATATTGTGTCTTCACGAATGAACGTTTATTGTTTATATCATAAGAATGCTATCCGATAATACCTAAATAAATAAAAAAACATCTCATCGTAACTTTTTGACACAATTAAACGACAAATCTGATGACAAATGGAAATAGAGGTTATGTTAAATAACATCCGGTCCGCCATATTATTTGTCCAAATCGGCCAATTTTTCGGAACGTTTTTTGGGGGGCTATATCCTATCCAGTAAAATAATATAGATCAGTGTAAATAATTTAATGGTGTACATTTTCGCAAATTGTTGGCAAGGATGACCAAATTCTATTTTGCTCATCTCAAAAAGGTATGCGTTGGAAATTCCAGGCTTAGTTGACAAACTATCAAATAGAGATATAAATATTTTTTCTAATTTGAAAATATAAAAGAGAATTTTTTCGCTGGGAGATTTTAAATTGCCAAACACCTTTTATTCAGAGTCGTATGCTTTAAAATGCGGTAACAAGTTAGAATTGTG